CAACGATATTGAAATAATAACAATATTTTGTGCAATTAAAATCATATAGCATATTACGGGGACACTTTAAATGCATCTTACAATGATATTTCTCTCATCATTATCATGGTTATTACCACTGGTCATTTGTGATATTTTCCTACACTTTCCCATACATGTAGTGTCTTATCCTGTAGGCTATATGCTATTAAGATATGTCACTGAAATATACTCTCGAATCTATAATGAAAAATGGATGATTGGGAGAAAACAAATACTTTGATAAATCATTACATTCCATCTAGATCTTTACGCTCTCAAAACTCCGGATTGTTGTTCTTTCTAAGCCCACTACTAAATAAGGGGAAAGAACTTTTTGTTGCTCATGCAGTATTTTCGCAGTGGGATGCTTTCCCTCGAGAGATTCTTTAAAGCCCCACTGCACTACTTATAGCTACGTGCGCCCTCTATAAAGCAAACAATGCCTAATCGGTGACCATTGGTCCCTCATGATTCTTTTTTTTCTTATGTTAATTGAGAGCTGATTTGATGAGATAACCACCTGTCAGTGACCTTGCAGTGCGACCTAATCCCCCCGGCCAAACTTATACAGATGGGCTTTAAAGCAGCTCAGTTGAAATGTTTACAATCTTTAAACGTATAGTTTGGCATATAATTAATTGTTCTGTCATGTTTTAAATGTTCTATCTTACTCCAATTTCTTTGTTTATAATGCAGATGCTTTTTTAATTCCTTTTTTTTTTCTCACAAGTGCTCCTTGAGCATATCATTTCAAAAGGATTCAGCGCCTTATAAATCTCATACATTGCTATTATCATTCAAACATTATTGATCTGCAATCATTTAAAACAGTTCTGGACTTCCTTTGGTTCTAGTGATCAAGGTCTTTACGTGTAGGTGTACTCATTACGTATAATCTAACGTAAATGGAAGCCGTTCACATATACATAGCAGGTATCAACGGTTTGCGGTTCCCTCTAGAACCAAAAGTCAGCTTTTCTGCTATAATTAAGACTTTATTTATATATATATATATACATATTTGATTTTAAAGTTCATTAGCAAATAACATTAGCGAATGCGAATAGTATATATATATATATATATGTATATATATAACCCGCATTTGCTAATGATCTCTAAATCATCTACATGTATCTACATGTATCTACACATGGACTCGCTTCTATCATGTCATTTTAATGTTTGTGTATGCATGTCATTTACTATATATATGTTTACATAGTATTTATGTTCTGTGGAATATTATGGAATGAATTCGATATCTATCAAAATTATCTAGTATGTCTTATAATTCATAGTCGAGAAATTTTTTTGAAAATGTTGCCTCGAATATAAATGAACTTGAAAGCCGATAAGACATATTTTAGGATTTCATCTTTATCCTTCTAAATCATGATTGATGCCTAGGAATATCACATTTTTCACGATTTTAAACTAATTAAACCGGATAAAAAGGTGTTTATCACAAAGTTAATCTGCCACAATCACAAGCAAAATACAAGTTTAAGTGCAAATAGCAAAACATTCATTCATTTGTATTAAGCATTATAGATTACTTAAATGAGAACAATCATGATACAAAAGATATTAAATAGTACAGGTGATATAAGTGTAACAAGTCTGTGGTTTGAGGGGGGAGAACAATTTTTTTCAAATAATTGCGGGCTATGAAAATGTCACGTGAGACAATCGCTTGTAATAAAATATGGGGTCATAAATGAACAAAGACTTTTGAATTGCCTTTCAAAGCTAAATCCAAATATCATCCAACGGACATCTTATAAATGTATATCTTAACCATGAACATACCGTCTTAAGCGCTTAAAAGCGCTTCATTTCCTGTCCATTTCATTTATTTATTTAAACACGTTAACTCGCTGAGTCTAAACGGCTGTTTTTCAGAAAGTCCGTGAACTGAATAAAAAATATACAAGTTATAATACAAACAGAAGCCAACCTAAAATGTACCTGATCATTTCGCAAAGCAATTATATTATCCAGAAATATAAATGACTTAATTGCAGTACTTGTCCTTTCTCTTCACTTGCTGCCCATTCTTAATTCTTCCGCTCCCGGCCCCCTAATTAAATTCTCTCTTTATCTATCCACTTGTCCTTGCCCTGTCCACGTTTTGAAACATTTGCTTCTATTAATTACATTGTCATCCGTACCTACCCAGTACCCACTTCAACTTCCTTGGGTATTCTAGGAAAAGATGTTTTAACATGTAATAACGATGAAATCGCCTCCTCTAAATTATTGCAACCCGAATCGTTTTTGCTACATGTAAATGAATACAACGCATCGTATGTATAAATCGTCGTTCTATCCATACTCGGCTCTAAACTGCTTAAAGATACTGGCCCGAATTCACAAAGAAGGTTTGCCGACAAACCTTCGTTTTCGTACGTAATATGACGCGTTTTTTACAAACCTGGTTTGTAAAGAACAAAAGGAGGTTTGGCGAAACAAAAGGAGGTTTGAGCTCAAACCTTGGTCTGAGCTCAAACCCCGCCCCCCCCCCCCCGACTCAGTGTTATTTAGGGTACGCATATGCGTGTTCCAACCGAACCCCCCCCCCCCCCCCCTTTTCAGCAAAAGTCCGGTGTGTAAAGTCAATACGGCTCGACCTTTTTCTTTTGTATACGAGCCTTTTTCAGCACCCCCCCCCCCTTTCAGCAAAAGTCCGGTGTGTAAAGTCAATACGGCTCGACCTTTTTCTTTTGTATACGAGCCTTTTTCAGCACCCCCCCCCCCCCTTTTCAGCAAAAGTCCGGTGTGTAAAGTCAATACGGCTCGACCTTTTTCTTTTGTTACGAAAAGGACATTTTGGCAACACGCATGGGGTCCGTCCGTTCTCGGAGTGGGGGAGCCGGGGCTCAAACCTTGCCTTGTGAATTCGGGCCGATATGTCCCATTTGCAGCCAACACCAAATTCTGTAGAAGTTTGCAGTAATTATGAACATGTCACGTATGTCGTATCTGTGAGATTTAAACGTTAGCAGTGTCCTAATATTCAAATTATGCAAGGAAACCCGTTTACTTTCTAGACTTCACTGTCAGACGCTATTTACCGACTGACTGACTGACTTCTTTTTTTTTCTTCTTCGTTAATAACATACCTGATAAAATGAGCTGTAAAGGGTACATGAGCATTTGTCTACATCAATAACCCAATTCTCGTAATGGCCCAAATTAAACCGATGGAATCTTTGCGCAGCACACGTTTCAACCATTCGGTACAAGGGTCTGAAAATCAGACTATTACTTTAAGGATTGCAATCAATATAAGTTGATTCGCCAACTACTGGTCATTATTTACTCACTTAAAGAAATTTTCCAGCCCTTTCGTTTTGAGGGAAGTTCTAAATTAGTATTATCTTTCAAATGCCGTTGGAATTTAACCTGTTCATTTTGTTGTGGCCTGCAAATGGGACATAGCGTGACTCTCAAATCTATTTATTTATTTTTTGTTTCGTCTAATTTACGCCTTCTTTTCTCTTTAACTGTGGGAAACATCAACTTTCAACTTTTTCCACTGTTTTAGTATATTTATTTATCTATTTGCATCTACCCTTGTACCCTGTCCTTGTAATTTTCTCTTTTTAAACCCATATAGCTTCATACCTAATATTGAATATTATACAAGTTAACCAACTTTGATTATTAAAGACGTATTTATGTTTTAAGAGGGGCTTCACATAGAAATAGTCTTACCTTCAATAATGTGAACATTATTGAAGGTAAGACTATTTCTATGTAATTGTCAAAATTTGTTCATTTGTCAATAATGCAACTAAACTATTTTTTTATAATATCGTTTTCCAGATGTGATATACTCCATTTTTAATATTGTTTGTTTTTTTAAAATCAAAATCAATTCAGCGATCCCAGCAAGCAAAATAATGCAGAATATTTTTTGTCTTGAAAAAAAATACTTAACTCCATTTCAAGATACAAATATTCCAACTCATGACGATGGATTGAATGAGATATGATACGCTATAAGCAAGGAATTAAGCTCACAGTCAGTGATTTAAACGAATTTTATTTGTCAAATACCCTCGAACAATCTGGAAAAATGCAAACTAAACACAAAACCATGCATAGCGAAGAAAAGTATTCATCTTTTGAAATGGATTCAGACAATAATCGTTGTATAAGGTTAAAAAGGAAATAGTTGAACTCTCTCCTAATTTTTTAATCTGAAATAGTAGCGTATCACTGAATCAGAATGCTCAATGAATACGTATTTGTTCTATTAAAAGAGAAACGATTGGCAATGATTTTACCACCTCTTATTCTTTTAAGACTTTCTTTTCTTGGAATTGCTAGTAATGCAAATGAATTACACTAGTGATTTATACATTTAAAAGAAAACAAAAAAGGAACAATAAAGCTTTCCAAAAACGGAATTAAAATTTTGCAATTTCGAATTCGAGACGCTAAGAATAAATATTGTCATTGAATTTGGCAACATTTATTTTTAACCCTTTATTGCTTATCCACTCTTAATTTTGTAATACTCTCTCTCTCTTTCTCTTTCTCACTCCCTTTCTACTATTTTGTTACATCACCTTCTGCCTTCATGTCATCGAAAACAATATTACGCGCCCAAATTCATGCGTACGTCATGGATGGATGCCGCATTTCATTGAGAAAGGTATCATCTACTCTTTATCCCTGATCCGAGATTCTTGACGTGGAGGCGTGATCACTGCTATAGCTAGTCACAACGGTTCGTACCTCGTGCGAGAGAATCACGCTGCGCGACTTGCAGGCAAGGCTATACGACACGTACAGAACACGTGGCCAAAACACAACGTGATGTGAACGTCATCTTTCAGCCAACTCCAAGTTTTAAGATTTAAACATTAGCAATTGGATTAAATCGGTAATACGGATATAGGAGGAGACAGAGAGAGAAGAGAGATAGGGAGTGGAGGGGAAAAGAGAGTCGGTGATATAAAGAGAGGGAGTTGAACAGAGAGATTTAAGAAACTGGGAGAAAAAGTCACCTTTTTATGTTTATGTTCTAAAAATACCAAGCGGTCAGAATAAATGTTGCTATCCAGCCTTGAGATGGGTATTTGTAAGATGACGGAGCAGGATGATGCAGCTCATGTGGAGATTATAAGCAAAGGGACTGCCGAAAGAGAAAAGAATGATACGATGGAGGATGATGACGGCCGGGAGATGGGTGGTGAAAGAGCTGGTCCTCCTCTTAACCCGAGAGTTGAGCGACCACTAGCCTTCAGCATCGATCGGATACTTGGTCTCCCAGGTTATACATTCCAAACCAACAACCCACTTCACCGTAACTATTCTCCACTTGGTATCGGTACTACTGCCGGGAATGTTTCCCAACGGTCGCCGGAGACCGTACCTAGTGCTACCAGCAGCGGCAGGGGGAGCAGGGGCTCGGGAGTGTTGACCCTTTCGACGACGTCTGCGATGTCCTCATCCATGATTCTGGAATCAGCGGGAATAAATAGCGTTGGTGGAGGACATAGTTCCGGGGGGACCCTGATACGAGTTCCTGCTCATCGTCCGATCCCTCTGAATCCGAGAACATATTTTCCATGGATGGAAACACGGAGATTTCCTCGAGATCGACTATCAGGTAGGCCTACGTAAATAATAAATTGAATGTTAAGCATGAGTTCACCTTAGACGGCTGAATTTATTTTATTATCGCAAAATTAGTTTAACCGTCATGTTACGTTGTCTCACAATCCAAATTCCGTATTGTGCTCACGAAATTTGTTACTTGCATTTTTTTTAAACGTTCTTGTCCCTGTCTTACTCTTAGGCGTAAAGTTATATTGAATATTAATATTGAATTCCTCAATCAGTTTCCACTTACCACGATACACACAAAAAACGGCAGAGCGATAGGGGCGATACCACTCATGACTCGATATTCCATCTCCATTAACGGCTGGTTAAATTTTTTGTAACACTAAAAAATCGCAAAACGAAGCTGTGGCTATCATCTCCGATTGTATCGAATGATCAATTTACCAACACGAAATGTTGGTGGAATTAACATGGTTATCTCTTTTTTGTTGTTGATTAAAGGTAGTATAGTAGAAGTAATATTAGTAATAGTAGAAGTAGTAGTGGTAGCAGAAGTAGATGTAGTAGTAGTATTAGTAGTAGGAGTATAGGTAGAAGTAGTAGTGGTAGTAGTAGTAGTCGTGATCGAATTCTTAGTAATTGTAGTAGTAGTAGTACAAAAGGGGTAAAGGAGTAAAAGGGGAAGGAGCAGGAGAAGGAGGATAAGAAGAAGAAGAAGTAGTAGTAGTTGTAGTAGTAGTAGTAGTAGTAGTAGAAGTAGAAGTGGTAGTCATAGTAATAGTAATAGTAGTAGTATAAGTAGTATTAGTAGTAGTATTAGTAGTAGAAGTAGTAGTAGTAACGGTAGCTGAAGTAGAGGTAGTAGTAGTAGTAGTAGTAGTAGTAGTAGTGGTGGTGATAGTAGTAGTAGTAGGAGTGGTGATAGTAGTGGTGATAGTAGTAGTAGTAGTAGTAGTAGTAGTAGTAGTAGTAGTGGCTATAGTAGTAGTATTAGTAGTAGTAGAAGTAGTAGTAGTAGTAGTAGTAGCTAGTAGTAGTGGTGATAGTAGTAGTAGTAGGAGGTGGAGGATTAGTAGTAGTATTAGGAGTAGTAGTAGTCGTAGTAATAGTAGTAGTAGTAGTAGTAGTAGTAGTAGTAGTAGTAAGAGTAGTAATATTGAAGTAACGATGGTGATGGCAGAAGAGATGGAAGAATGGTTAGTATTCTTTTAAAAGGAACCAATTAGCTTTGTTATGGGTTTCTAATCTTTAAATGAAAATAATCAGGACGTGCTATCCTTGATTGAAATGCTATTATTTAAATGTACAGTTGCTTAATTACAATACACTTTATAAAAGTACTTTATTATATTATCCCAAAAGAACAACAGAAGATCACATGATAAGATGTATTGAAGAATGTATGTAGAATGAAGTGAATGGCAAATCCCTATCCAAAACCTCTGATAGTCGTTTCACTAATCAACAAAAGGCCTAATACGAGATTCGTTATACAAATATTTTTACTTTTGTTCTCATGAATGCAAACATGAATTTTCTTATTGAGCGCGAAGCTTGCAAATGTAACAAAATATACATATTTCGAACAGTACTATAAAGATGGCATCTACTACTTCCTATGTCAAAGGTCGAAACATTTGAAGGAATTGTGGGAATGATTAACACACTAATGGGAATTCACTGATTTAAAGCAGAGTCGGATCTTCCCCTTTCGGTATTGTCGCATTCTTCTCCTCATCTCTAATCTTTACATTTACATGTCTTCCTCTTTTTGTTTTGAGTTTATCAAATTTTCCTGAACAGTTGCAATGATTTAATTTCAAAATTAATCTAATCACAAATGATACATTTTTTTTGTAAATGTCATTATTAACATCGTTTACATGGTTTACGCGCGCTATAGATTGTCCACTTGAGTTTTTCTCATTCTTGATTATTTGCAGTTATTTGTGAGATATTCAGCATGAATTCATGCAACTGTTTATATTTAAATGACTTTCTTATATTTTCCCAGTAAAAATTGAATATTTGTCAATGTCAAACTGGCCATTAGAATGTAACATTAAATAATTGCCTCTACAGTGATTATTAAGCTGATTATTTTGAAATGCCAAATCTGTGCGTATAGGCGTGAATTTCATTTCTTCCTAAATAGTTTGTGAATTTCATCTACTTTTCAAATTCCTATGATAAATTATATCCTATAAATGACTACCAAATTGTTACTATTATTGTGTGTTTCATTTCCGTTTGATTCGGCTTACTGTATTATTTGGCGGAAATAACAGATAAACACATTTCACACAATTCGCATTGCATTTCCCATAAATTAGAAGATATTCTATTTTCTAGTACAAATATGTTTTTCAATTCTTCCTTTTTTCCTTCTTTTTATTAGGCCTTCAAATATTTTTTTCTAATACAATTGATAGACATTTCCTGTTTTTGCAAGGAGTAGAAACGACAAAACCTTTAGAAAACAGTTACCAATTTCCTGAGACAAAGTTATCCTCAAATATATGTTAATGTAAAGACTGTAATTTCCACCGTGTTGGTTGCAATTTAAAACAAATGTGCAGAAAGGCAATGTTCTAAAAATGAAAAAAAAAATACAATTTTTTTCTTTTTGCATGACAACAAAACATAAGCATACTTCAATTTCAGTTTTCATTTCATTTTTCATTTCAATTTCCAATTGTGACCAGGCTACAAACTGCCTGCAAATGAAGATATATAAGCCTCAGAATACTCTGAAAAGCATACTTTTTAAGTTCCTACCATCCGTTCTCATGGGCTTTTAAAAGAGTGTAGACCTGTCAATAAGCATGACTTTTCAGAGGCACTTATGTATGGATTCTCATTCCTTTTTAACAACGCGCCTTTTTATTCGATCCCCATCTCCCGCCTCAGTCGTCCCCCGTCGGATCGGGCACCCCTACCAGAACCGTACGCCGTCGAAACGCAAGAAGCCGAGGACTTCATTCACCCGACTCCAAATCTGCGAGCTGGAGAAGAGATTCCACCGGCAGAAGTACCTCGCCTCGGCCGAGCGAGCCAGCCTGGCTCTCTCCCTCAAAATGACGGATGCTCAGGTGAAGACTTGGTTTCAAAACAGGCGGACGAAATGGAGGTAGGCAAAGAGGCTGGAAAGAACTAGCTAATTAAAGATGTGATGAATATGGTAGAGAGACGAGGAGAGAGGGATTGAGAGAGAGAAAGAGAGATTGAAGGACTGAGAATATCTTTAAAATGTCTGGTTAAATATAGGCCTTAACATTATTTATAGGTCTACATGCACCACATACCACACCGAATGCTCAAAATAAGATTTGATATTTCAAGCGCAGGAAGGAGATTTGCATGAAAATAATGCATGAAAAGTAATCACATCATGAAAATATATTTTTCATTGCCACTGCTGTGTGTAGATTAAATTTAACAAAGAGAGAGTGTCCTAACAGTTTGCTTTATACGACATAACATCAATCTAATAGAGCAGAATAGCAAAATGTCAACTGTAAACGATATTGTTTTGCCGCAATAGTGTCTCATAAATCACTTCCCACAATAATGGATGTAACATAAAGTTATAGGGGATTTCAAGCATAATATTACTACTTATATCATAATTCATGTATTACAGTCTTTAGACCATCAATCGCTCGAAATGTCATTTTATCATGCTTAGTATAATTTGGACATTCATCAGAATTGAAGTAAGAGATCGTCTATACATACATGATGGTTAATAAGATATTACAGAAGAGTCAAGTCTTTGAGTATCGAATTTAGAGTTGGCATCAGTATGTTATGCTTTTAGAATATATTTTGCAGTAGCTGTGCTAGTCATCATTCCCATGGATGCTAACACATCATTATCAGTACAAACGCGAGTAGTATTTCAATGGTTTATGATTACCTTTGGTTTAATAGCCGACGACTAACCGCAGCGGTACCTATCACATGCATTAACAACGAAAACTCACGGAATATTTAGTGTAAATAAAAACAAAATACATAGAAAAATCGCAAAATTACACGTCCATGTAAAACTATGAAGGCATCCCGTCCCGATTATAGAAGAGTAAAACAGAATTTTAATGAAGTGATGTTGCTGATGTCATTTGTCCATGATGATAGCTATCGTAATTGAGTTATATTTCTACAAAGACGACTCTACCAATGTTTGTTAGAAATACTGTTGCCTGTATTCAAGTATACTATTGCAACATTTTATCAACTGGCTAATTACAGTAAAAACACGCAACATCAATATTTCATTTTTTTTTAACAATTCCGTATTTAGGAGAAATGTTATCCCTTATGTGCGAGGTTCTTGATTTGATTTTGAAGACAATAAATTCGTCTTGTGCATTCTGATGGATAGGTAAATGAAATGTCAGATAATATGGCAATCTGTATTTTATACAGCGCCATATATGTCGCGCGTCTCAAATTAATAACAACCCACTTGCTCATAAAGTTTGAATATTTTTGTTCACCTCTTTTCCTGAAATGATTGTGAGAATACGGTTCATTCTTGATAGATGCAGTTTATATTTTCTCGGAGCTTCATTGCTTCATTTACGGAGTCATAGAGATTGATCAAAACAAGTAGAGTTTATTTTCAATCCATTGACATGAAAAAGGGTAAAAGAAAATCACTCCAAATTTATGGACAACCGTGTAGTCAGGATTAACTTTTTGCCACCAAAACTTACCCACCAACACAGCAACAACAACATCAACAATATCAACAACCTTGGGATAGGTCCTACGATTCGTTGACACACCCAATCGTGTGCACCATCTTCATTCCATGGAGAGTATAATGACATACAAAGTTACCATGAATTTCCCACCAGGGATGCGGGTGACAAAGTGTAGTAGTATAAGGTGTTGCCGATGGATATTTGTGCAGCCCTGCATGGGGCTCGAACCTACGACATTCAAATCTTTAGTCAGGTATTTCGAGCACCTGTTTGAAAACATCACTTCATTTAAACCGCCTTTTTTATTCATAGGTTAAGAAACCAACCACTAATTCATGCGAAGGGGCGAATTTGGTCAGAATATACTGAACAATTATTGTTTTAATTTTAATTTCAATAATGTTCACTCATGTAAGCAAATTATGTTTTCGCACACATTTACATGATAAGCATTTGAAGCTGGATCTTGTATGTTTACGTGTAATGTTGGCATACTAAATAACATTTGTAAGAGATAACAACATATTAAAAAACATAAAAACAAACAGAGATTATACTGAGAAGGTTGATAAAAAAAGACGACCCAGGCCATTTGGAAGGAAGAATAGATATCGAACCGTGATCTGCTTAAGAATATATTGCATTTACACTTGTTCAAAAAAATGATCAATGTGGAATTATAATTTTCATATGAACATGAAAGAACGTACTTAACGAGAAGACCAGGATTTTATTAGAAAGGTAGCAATCATCCTTTTTATGATCTAAAATGAGTACACTACTCAATTTTTGTTATTGTTAATTTGAAATCCAACTACCACATAAGTCTGTGAATATTGATGTGCATCCCATCTTTCTTTTCTCTACTTTTTTCTGTCTTTTCCCCCCTTTTAACAATATTTTGTTCCTCCATATTTGTATTATTATGTATCCTTTGAGGGTAGTCATACTATCACGCTTTGCTTATTTTGTCAACCCTCCTGTTTGATTTTCTCGATTAGTTACACCCAGCCTTACTTTATTCTACATATATTCTTTTGTCATGTGTAAATTTGCAATATTTGTTTGTTATATATTTGTAAAAATGCAAAAGAAAAAGAAAATAAAACAGAAATAAATAAATCAAATCAAATCAAATCAATCCAATTTATCACCTTAATCACAATATTTTAATATTCAGAGTTTTTTCATGATCACAATTTTGTGTTATGATCACAACCTTTTAACATGTAAATATTTGATTAAATTTAGTCATTTGATAAAACCACATATAAAGTAAATATACATCACAAATTGTGGAGGAACTCGCACTGTAGATTAATGTAGGTAGGTAGACCCATATCATAAATAACAATACAGTGATTAACAAATTCAGAAATATTTATAACTTTCAAACTTTTTTGTTCAATTCTGTTAAAGGGATCCGGTAACTTTGTCTTAGATCCTTTAGAAATAATCCTTGATTTAGCTCATGCTGCAATAATAATTATAAACCTTTAGGTCAGTCAGGAACTCCATGACTTTTACAAGCCGATCGCCTGTCTTATTATCAAGATATTAATGATTAGAATTACAAATTTTGAAAACCGTTCGCCGAACGGTTTTCATAACACTACAGTCTACTGGGGAAAAACGAGTATGGTAAAACCGGTCACTCAAAGATTTTTACTTTTTTGAGGCACTTCTCGATCATTTTGAAGCGCGATTTTCTTAGGGCTTCAATATTACACCATATCACAGACACTGGTAACATGTAGGACCGTGTATCTCAGATTTAACATTGTTAAACTATCCCTTTAAGGCTTTCTCCACAAATATTTGTTCAGTCCCACTTATTAAAAAACAATTCCTATCATGGTTGGATTGGCACTGAACCTTTTTCCTCATTAGTACCAGTGACGAAACTTGAGCAAACTTCTGTGGCCAATCCATTCATTAAACGTTCCCTTAAAACATGCGAAAGGGAATATATATATATACCTCAGTCACTACCATCTCTATACACCGTCTCCAAAGCGGGCGATTCTGGGCCATTCGGGGTAGGGTGATTTTGTTTCAGCTTATTGCAGTTCTTGGGGGTGTTTCACAAAGGTCCTAAGTCAAACTTAACTCTAAGTTGGACTTAAAAATTAAGGAGAGCCATTTGTAGCCTCAAAATTAAATATTTCCAAAAGCAAAAATTGAAGTATTTTAGACTTTTCATAAATTCAACATCAAGAACATGAAATCTCCTTGATAATAGAAAATATGAATGATTTGAATCAACATTTTATGCCTTTTGAAATAACTTTTATAAAATATTTTCAATATTGCTAACGGCTTTCCATAATTTTTAAGTCCAACTTAGAGATAAGTTCCACTTAGGATCTTTATGAAATACCCCCCCCCCCCCTGGTGTCTGTCTTGGATAGTACGATCAAGCTAGTATCGGATCTAAAATGGTCAATTATTAAAAGCATCGTTTAACAATGTTCAATATGAGATGCACGGCCCTACGTGTTTTCAGTGTCTGTGATATGGTGTAATGTTGAAGCCCTAACAAAAATTGCACTTCAAAATGATCAAGAAGTGCCTCAAAAAAGTAAAAATCTTTGAGTGACCGGTTTTACCATACTCGTTTTTCCCAATACACAGTAGTATTATGAAAACCGTTTGGCAAACGGTTTTCAAAATTTGTAATTCCAATCATAAATATCTTGATAATCAGACAGGCGATCGGCTTGTAAAAGTCATGGGGTTCTTGACTGACCTAAATGTTTATAATTATCATTGTAGCATGAGCTAAATCAAGGATTTTATTTCAGAATCTGAGACAAAGTTACCGGATCCCTTTAAAGTACATTTCCTCGAATCATCTCTTCATCTCACCAGTCACCCGGGGAACAATAACACTGAAAATGTTGCTTGCATGAGGAATCTTACCTATCCGTTGTGGTATATTTTAGACGGCGAAATCTTGATTAAATGCATGAATACTTGATGCTGTGATATGGGAAAGAGTATCCACAAGGCATACGCTCTTCCACAGGGAGGTAGCATATTGGTAACGTTTGGGATGATGGAATATCAAGATCAAGCCAATAAATTGAATTCTTAATTTGTCGTCCCCTCCTCTTTCACTATTTTTTTACCGGCCATCATTTGTAAAAAATAATATTTGACATTTCCGTTTTTGAATGCAATATCGTGATCAAGCCAATAAATTGAATTCTTAGTTTGTCGTCCCCTCCATTTTTACCTCTTTAGATCGGCCATCATTTATGAAAAAAAATATTTGACATTTCCGTTTTTGAATGGAACATCAAGATTAAGCCAATAAATTGAATTCTTAAATTTTCGTCTCCTCTTTCACTATTTTGATCGGCCATCATTTGTAAAAAGAAATATTTGACATTTCTGTTTTTGAATGGAATATCAA